GTACAAACCACGCGAAATGTGTTATTCAATGGCTGAAATCATTATATTTCCAGATATTATTTTACTGTGGAACTTTTCAATAATTAGAAGCCCACTTCATTTTACGGCTAAGACAAGAACTTATTTTAACCAGATTCAAATTTCGGTGTGCTTCTGATGTCAAACACATTTAACAGCCGCGAACATTGTTTACACAACATGAAGATACTCGACGGAATCTGTAACCCGGGCCCAAGGACTATTGCTGTAAGTTTCAAGTCGCTTACCTTTAACCAGTGATCTAGTTAACTCGTTGTTCGCGGTCATAACTTCCAAACCAACCGACGAATTCATAACTGCTTTTATACATCTCACACACTCGATTTGCTCAAGAGCTTCTGTGAACTTCAGTCCATTTCTAGAAGATAGCGACGTTAGACCATCGAATAAACAGTCGAATCCGCCGAGATTAAGAAATTCACTTAGCCATTCCTTGCTTGCCTTTTCGAGTCGCGGACGGATGCCAGAAAAATTCTTCAGCGACGGTGTTTTCAGTAACTTAACACACAATTCTGGGTCAGCATCTGCTATGAGGCCGCTTACAACTGAAGAGACGTCGTTTTGATCAGAAATCCTTCGCCATTTTGATCTCGACGCGTTCAGAGCCATTTTCGTTCCGCGCAGAAACTGCGACTTGGGACTGCGATGACAAATGAGGCAGGTTGTGTGCGCTTGTATGACGTGCGGGCCAGAGAAACTATTATTTAGCCGGCCTTGCACGAAACACAAGTGCTGGGCTCCGAAGTGCGCAGACACTCGAAGATTCTTGACACGATAGAGGGAACAAAGGTTGCCAGCGACTTTATAACGGACCACTCGAACAAAAGCCGAGATAATTCATGTTTTGAGAATGTTTACAAATTTAAGCCGTGGGAATCGCGCTGAAATCCCTTGAGAAATGTTTATTTGCTTTTAATAAGCTGTGAGGATGGTCAATATCCAACGTTAAAATGTGCCTGTCATTCAATGATATTCTAACGGTACCGTTTCCTGACTCTTTCCTTACAGCGGCGGATCTAGGATAAATGGTGACTGATACAAAGAGTGCCTCCTAGAGGGGCCACGCTCCCTTAGGAAACGTTCTGGAATTTTTTTACCCCTACAGTCCATCTGAGTAATTCTGAAAAATCTGACCGATTTCTGTAAAAACGTTGGAAACCAGTATGGATCCGCGCCTGCCTTGAGTTGTTTTTTCATGAAATGAGCAGACAAAGAGGTACAAATCTGTTCAAATTCCGATCGATTGAGGTGCAGAGAAAGGGAAGAAATTATCTGGAACTAAACGTCTAGAATTACCTCTTATCGAGAAACTGTGAAAAATAATACAAAAACTATCAGCAAAATTAGACAACTCATTAACCTCTGCCTCTATGTCGTGCTGTCTTCTATGAATTTACAGCTTAAAACTATATATTTGTGCTAAGGATATTTGCACAACATAAGAGGGTTCTCTTGTGTGACCCTCTACCGGAAGAAGTCAAGAGCTTATGCCTGGGCAAAACACCGGAAGTGACGTAGGAAATGCTACATCCTGCTTTGGCCATCGGTGGAAACAATTCGCTGACAAAAGTTTATTTGCTGTGAATACAAACGAAGGAAATAAAGAAATATTCTACGTTGATAGTTAAGTATTCTCGATGCACAATCAGCCTCATCAACTCTAGCATAAATAAATTTATGTGTGTGTGTCCCTAACAACGAGAGACAGACATAAAGACAGACAGAACTTGAGTAACTTGAGTTACCAAGTAACTCGAGCCTCGAAAAACTTGTTATTGATTTTCAACACCAGTTTTACAAAAAATCAAGAGTTCAGAAATCAAAAGTTCGATTTAGTTCGACTGTCCAATTATTTTTGTGTGAGTCCGATTTGGTTTAGTCTGCTGGCAGCCGGTTTTTTCTCTTAGGGTCACTTAGACGAATGTTCAGTCGTCGCGAACGCAAAATAAAAGGACAGTATGGCAGTGGCCGAGTGGGGAAGAAGGTGTGCCGCGCTTATGTCTCGTCCCATTCCCCTTTACGCTAAAGTGTCACTCCTCATAGCCCCTGCTGAATTTCGAGAGCAAAACAGACTGCCAGTAGTCTAGATTCGGTTCGATTGCCGAACTTTAGTTCGATTTAGTTCGATTGAGTTCGATTGAAATACCGTTCGATTGGGTTCGATTGACTATGCCGGGAAATGCGTTCTTCTCTGTTGCGTTATGTTTTTGGACGGTGCTGCAAATGTTCGCTCTTCAATGGATTCAGTATAAAATTTACAAGATTCTGTCCGTACAAAAACCAAAACCGTTTCTGTAATTTGTTTATTTTGTACCTCTCGTCTGTGTTGTTGATATCGTCAGGTAAACAATTCGTCCACTAAAACGTATTACCGTTTTTGACAAGTTACGCCCGACTTCGGCACTGCGAAAACTTCGGCCTTAATAATGAGGACTAATATGGCGAAGCGTTCCATTGCAAAAATTTGCAATTGCATGTTTAGATACCTACACTTAAAAAGCTTTTCTTATCTTTTCGAAATGACAAACAAATGATTAAAGAAAGCAGACTTCTCCTAAAACAAAATTTCTTTGCAAGATCTCTTGTTGATAAGGATGTTGACCGTTCAGTATAGAAACTCTTTACTCTAAGTAGAATATCTTATTATCCCTTCATTTTATTTCACTAACTGTCACAATCATGTTATGAATTCGTTTGCGCAGGAGATGTTTAAAAATAAATAAAATTCTCACGAATTCTACCCTCGGCATTCCAAAACGAGATCTTTTACAATTGGCTTTCGTAGTATGATTTTCTGTTGTTTTTTTTTAGATAAGAACTTAATTTAAGCACCCACTCTGAAACCACATTTTGTCCATACAATAAATTTTTCATGCATTCTGCCTCAGTGCAATATCACTTTTGGAAAGCAGGTTTTTCAAAGACAGGTGATTTAAAAATAATAGTCCTATTCGTCAGGTGTTATTGCTAGAAAAGCTGAAATTATTTTGTTACTGCAAAATAATTTGAATTCAACATCAAAGAAAGTCATATTATTTTAGTGAAACCGGGCTTAAGACCAGAAAAAACAACCATCAATTCACCCGTTAATATTAAAATAATCTGTCAGTGTGATAACGAGATCTTCTTGTTTGTTTAATTAAGCCAAACACCTTTATAACGTTACTATTGCACTCGTCCATTCCCTTGCTCGAAGTTTAGATTCCCCTTACTGCTTTCAGTACATTTGTTATTACTCCAGTTGGAAGAATTTAGAGTCAGATCAGGATAATATTTCTTTATCGATGAATGTCTCTAATCCTGTTACCTGTCTGCTTGGTTTTGTACTAATATTGTATGGAGAAATTGAATTTTGATCAATACTAAGATTTAAGTTAATTAATTTTTTTTGGAAGGAATAAATAAATACACAGAAGCCTTAGTTTGTTCAGAAATTCAAAATATCATTGTGTGCACAAAATTGAAGCGGCCTATCGCCCGGGTTTTATTTTGTATTAAACGCATGTTTGCAGTTTACAACAAAGAGGGGTGCTTGTTCTCGAAACTGTGGGAAGTTGCAGAAAACCTGTGACAATACGGTATGGACTGTGAAAACTTTTGTCTAATATATGAAAATAAAACTTATAGGTGATATACACTGCACGCAAACTTTCTCGTACCCGGCTTTGGAATTAACTAAAAAATATCATCAATTGTTTCCTCTCTCTACGTATCACAGAACTGAAGCACTACCAGCAAAAATAAAATCTCCTCTCGATTCGTATACAATTTTTAATTCAAGGTTGACTCCACTACAGTCATAACGACACTAGGTAAATTAAATTTTCAAGAAATTGACGTTACCTCTGCCAAGTCTTCGTGTAAAGTCGCGATTTCCCACCATGAAATCAAGACCAGTTTTCGAGTTCATGACCGTCTTGATGCAAGACGCACATTCCAAAAGCATAACCGCCGCATCGAAGAACAACTTCAACGAGCCTAATTTTTCCAAAGCGTCAAGCAAAACCTCCATTCCGTTGTTCTCAAGAAATTGAAGCATCCAATCCCTCGAAGAGTTCTTCAACTTGCTATGGATCCCACAGTAGGTTTGAACAGACGGAAATCGCAACAAACGAACACAAAATTCCGGGGAGACTTCGCTCGAGAGCAAAAACCCTTGGTCTCCATCGGATAGTCGCCTCTTTAAAGACGACCATTTGTTTTTAACGGTAAATCTCGACATTTTCGACGAATTTTAAACGGAATACATTTCACAGGTAGTTTTGGTGCCCCCTGGGGCACAGAGCATTAAAATGCCAATCATTACATTGTCCATGGCAACAAAGTAGGCTTACAGCACCTCAGGTCGGCCTGTTTTGACGATAAAAGCCAACAGAAAGTTTCGCATGCGAAAAAATGAAAGCGGATTTCAGGTGACACCTAGGGGAATTTTTAATAGTTTTTTGTTCCATATTCAAATAAGTCATTAAAATTGCAGCTGGCACATAAAGTGCCTTTTTAAAAAAAACCAGCTAAAGTTTAGCGAGTGGCATTTTGGGCGGTAGGTCAATAATCCTTCTTTTCTCCAAAACAGTTGGCGTTAAGCGTACAGTTTGGCGTTCATTCTTTGAGAATTAAATCTAAAAGAAGTTAAAATTCAGTAAAATGCAGTGTTTTAAAGATAACGATTTTGATAAATTCTTGAATCACATTTAGTCTAACTGCGCGATGAGTTCAGAGCGGTTGGCCGTGCAATGGCCTCATTCTTAGGTACTGGGCTCTAGAGCAATTGTTTCACGTTGTTGCCTCTCACCACCCGAGTCTATTAGTGGGTAGCATGCCGAGAAAACGTAATAAAAGTATTGCGGGATGTGGGGAAGATGAGCTTTGTGTTAGACCACAAAGAGATCTTTAGGTAATACAACAGCTGAAAAATGAGGGTTCTTCAGCTACGCGCAACACAAACGTGGAAGTGTCACACACACGCGTGGCGATCGCGATCGCGCGTAACTGACAGGTCTGACAGATCCAGGTCAGTCCAGTCAGTATAAGGGCTGTCGTCATTACCAAGCCGCCCGTGCGCAGCTCCCGGCTCGAATTAATTTGATTGCATTTTTGGCATGTGTGACCAAAAGTATGTATTAGCGTAAAACTAAGGTCATATAATAATGCTTCAGGGTTAGGGTCTTTTGAAAAATATCGCTTTAATTGTGGAATTCTCCTAAAGCTATGAATATGATGGGCGTGGACCTTTTCATCCGATTTTCCACGTGGTCAACGACTGTTTCTCGCGGTGTCCGCTTTTCTGTCCGCTTTTCACCTCAGGAAAGAACGCGGGCTCACTTTCCGGAAGGCTTATAATAGTTTGGTCGGTCACGTAAATCCCTCTTCCGTAAAAACAATTGATTAACAAAACCTTGTAAGAGAAAAGAGATTCGTTTTTCTCGGAACTGGCTCAAAATGATAGAATGGAAATTCAAACCTTGCTGCGGTATAACCTGAAATATTACTTGTAATCGTGATTCCAGTTTCCGGTAAACGTCCCAATTGAAAATCCGGGGACACGAAATACCACACTTATAAAAATAAACAAACGATTTTAACGGTAAACATTTATATTATTTCAGCTCCTTTCTGCTTTGAATTCGGCAGATCAGATCGTTCATTTAGGGGTTCAAATGATGATTGCTTTGTTCTGGAGTGTCTCGTGTTTAGTTTTGACCAAAAGAACATGATCGTAGGAGTCATGATCAATGGAGCATTTTATACAAACCGTGAATTCCCACATGAGCAATGCTATTTATAACACAGCTGAGTAGAAAACACAATAGAGACACTTTCAAACGATTTCTCACTTAACAGCACACTAGCATCGACAATAATATGAAACGAAAATCTCCTTGTACAAATGGAAATTAAAACATGTGCAAACTGAACTCTCTGACATGCAACAAGTTCACTGAGATCACACCCCGAGGCACACATTTCTGGTTTATATAAAGAGCTTCTAGCTGCAGTAAAGCTTAAGCAAGCACAAATAATCTTATAGAAAAGAAATCCTTACCATAAACTAGCTGACAGACGAGATCTGGAGATGACAGGAAGTAAAACACGCCAGCTTGAGAGTTCAGTACTGCTTTAATGCACTGAACGCACTCGAGCGCCACAAAAGCATCCATGAAGGCGATGTGGTAATTTTGAGCTGACAAACGAACCGAGAGAATCTCTAACGCGTTCATTAACACATCTAACCCTCCAAGGTCGAGGAACTCTGTCATCCACTGGCTGGAACATTTCGAGAGTTTGGGATGAAGCGCGGAAAAGTTCTTCAACGACGGTATACGAAGAAGACTGACGCAAAGTTCTGGCTCGATGCTGCTGAACTGTCCTTTAGCTTGTTCGTGTGAATCAACAAAGACATTTTGCTGGAAAATAGGCGACTTTCGAATTCTTTGCCAGCCTGAATTTTCCATGTCTTAGCAGAGAACGGTAAAGTTTACTATTTCCGTACTGTGGTTCTAATCTCCCCACTAACAGATAGTCTTTTATACTTAATATGCAACCCTCGCTATTCGATCACGTTCAAACCTATTGAAGACCTGACCAATCAGAATTTCGTTACATTTATGGGTGCAATTCCGGTGCAATTTTAAAATTATAAAACTGTCGGCATTGAAGGTTTCTTTCACAGTAACGTATCAATCGTGACTGAGATTTCAGGAAGTCTCTCGAATAAATCGAATGACTGTAGAAACATGGCGCCCTTGGGTTAACAGGGGTAGTCGATAACCTCTGAAGATGAAAAAAAAAAAAA